TACTTTGTTGCAATTTCTACAAAGTCACAGCATTTCAAATTTGAGCAGTTTGCGTAATATTGATATTGGGGGTACGTCTGATATTTTATTTATTAAAGACTTATTCTTGAGACTTCTTAGGAGAAACGAGCACAGTTCAACTTATTGATAGTTTGTATACATATTTGTCACAAGCATGTTTTATCTGGAACATCTATGGGCCTGCAGAAACAACTGTCGATTGCACAGGTTATGTCGTAGGTAGAAATCAAAATATGATCAACATTCCAATTGGACGTCCACTACCCAACTATCGATGTATGATTGTGAATCAATATTTGCAATCATCTGTTAGTGGCCAAGAAGGTGAACTGCTTATAGGTGGAGTGGGTGTCTTTGCTGGATATCTCAAACGAGATGATTTAACTGCAAAAGCTCTTCTTGAAATAGATGGTCAACTATACTATCGAACAGGTGATCTTGTTAAAATGGATAACAATGGTCTTCTTCATTATCAAGGAAGAAAAGATCAACAAATCAAACTTCATGGACAACGAATTGAACTTGGTGAAATCGAACGATGTTTGCTCAACATTACATCCATCTCTACTTGTATTGTCATGAAATGGAATGATGATTATTTAGTTGCATATGTTCAATCATCTCATATCAATGAAGAAGAACTACGTCAACATTGTCAATCTCATTTTCCACTACATATGATACCATCAATATTTATTATACTTGAGAAAGTACCTTTGAATCAAAATGGAAAAGTAGACAGAAAACAACTTCCTTCACCCGACTTTTCTTTATCAACTTTGTTATCGTCCGATAAATCTGATACTCCTCTCAATCAGTTCGAACAACGTATACACACTATTTGGTGTCAGGTTCTTCATTCTAATGAAAATCACATTTCTACAGCTACGAGTTTTTTTAGTGTCGGTGGCCATTCACTATTATTTATTCAACTTTATCATCATTATCAATCAGTATTTAACTTTGATACCCATACACTTTCGATTGCCCCATTTCTTCAACAGCCAACTATATTTCAACATTCACAATTACTTCAAACAATTACGATAAATAATGTCAAGGCTACACAATGGCACACGTTACATATAAATGAAGGTAAAAGAGTTTACTAGAAAACTATGAAATTAATTTCTATTATTTAATTCACAGGTATTGCTTCTTTTGCTCAAGAACGTATCTTTCTTGATGAACAAGTTCGTTTTTCGAGTAATATTGCTATCTATAATGAACTGGATAGTTTACAAGTTGTTCAAGGATCATTATCATTAAATCGGTTATTACAAGCACTTCGATATGTTCTAAATAAACATAAAATATTACGTACATCTCTTCTTTTTAACAATGATGATGGTATTTTGAAAGAATATATCACAAATCTACATAAAACGTTCACAATAACTATGAATCAAACCTTTGAGAATGAAAATGAACTTCGAGACATTATTTATAAAACAACTACCAATCCTCATCTCTTCGATTTATCAACTGGTCGTGTTTTTCATGCTGAAATACTAAGATATCAAGTGTTATTAAATGAAAATGATAACAATGAATTCATAACTAATTCTGATGTTCTTCTCATTGCTTTTCATCATGCTGCATTTGACCGAGCAAGCTCTCCGATCTTTTACAGTGATCTATGTCTAGCTTATGATACTAATACAACATCATCAGAAGATGATGATGAATCATTGCAATATATTGATTATAGTACATATGAACGTCTAATCGATATGACAACATCTCGTAAGTTCTGGCATTTACTATTAGAAGGATATAATTTGGAGCAGCGACTATCATTACCAGTTGATCGACATCGTTTATCTAATGATCATCGATCGAGTTCTGCTTTTACTACTCAAATCTCTTTCGATAATGAAATTTCACAATCATTTCTTGATTATGCTTCCACACATCATGTGACACCATTTCAGTTAGGTCTGAGTATATTATATGCATTTCTTTTCAAGTTAACACATGGTGAATATAATCTATGTATTTCTTGTTTGAATGCTAATCGATACAGAACTGAACTGCAAAATATAATAGGAATGTTTGTTTCAGCATTGCCATATCGTATTCAAGTTAATCCAGATTGGTCATTTGATGAACTTGTTAAATATGTGCAAGAAAAATGCTTATCAATTCTTGAACATTCTTATTATCCACTTCAACATATTCTTGCCAATTTACATATGAATCAATCAAATATTTCATTTCTCGAAACAATGTATGACTTTATTACTATATCGTCACAGAACGATGAATTATCTTTGGATGGAACAAGTCTCAAACAAGTGTCATTTGAACAATCGTCTGAAGTGGCTAAGTTTGATTTTATGTTAACATTTATCTTTGATCCACTGTTGGAAAATCATAGATTATCATTCCGGTTAACTTGTTCACATGATCTGTTTGATGAAATTACAGTTACAACTATAGGTCAAAGACTCGAATATTGTTTTCAACAACTTTTTTCATGCGATGGAACTAGCAATCAAGTTAATACATGCTTTACATCGATATCGAAATTTGATCTTATTCTGCCTCAAGGAGCTCAAGAAATGGAAGATATTATTTTTTGTCGACAATCACATATTGCAAATGAAGGTACGTTCAATTAGAGATTAAGCTTTTCTTAATCAACATTTATATCGACAATCCATAAGTCATTCAGAAGTATCGCTGCGGATATATTCGTACACCACGTAGACCATTCGAGAACCAGGATAGGTGCGAGAGTGTGAGCACAACTGAAAGGGTTTATTCTCTGATCCGAAATATAAATCCATATCTACACCTATTTTTTGAAATGTAGAACTGAACACACATTGAAAAATCATTTTTGCAAAAAATAGGAAAAAACGAAGTCTTATTAAACTTCATTTTGACTGACAGAGAAACGATTTAGATAAAATTAATCAATTGGAATGAATATTAATAAACATCGATTGATTCGATAGAAATATTGTTCACTATGAATAGTTTTACGAAGATACTACAAGTACAAGTAAAAACCATGATTCAGCTCAGTTCACAGACAAGTTGATGGCTGTAGAACTAAAAATTTTAGATGCTACATAAAATGTGTACCTCTAGAGTATATTTTTCTGAGAGATGTAAAATAAGAAATTAGGGTACTATACCTTCCAAACGAAGAATATATGACGGCTCTGTAAAGTAGAGATAGGAATTTGCATATATGTCTATCGTTCAGATCATGACAGACAACTTTACTGAGAGTAATCAGAATTTTGCAATGCTATACTGAATCAGTTGAGTTATAAAAATTGTCGAAACTTGTGGTTTCGATTTAGTTTTCGTGCTAAACGGCTCTAAAATTCATCAAGTGCTGAAGAGTGAGTTCGTTCTTTAGACAAAAGATGTTAGAGCGAACCCATTAGGGTGCTCGATTTACATACAATTTTCTTAAAATTTTAGACTCTAATGAAATATGTTTCTATTGCAATTTCTGTTTCTATCCTTAACCCTTTAATTCTATTCTTGAACTCTTAATTTTATATATAAATCCTTATTATCTTAATACAAACTCAACACTCCTCATCATTTGTCGTATTAGTTAGAAAATTAATCATATAAAAGGTTGCTAGAATATTAATATAAAACATCAGTTGATTAGCAGTTTTCAGAGCTATAATCAGCTAAAATATCGTTGTTGTAGCACCAGCATCATTTGCACAAGTTCGACTATGGCACAATGAATGTATTCATTTTAGTACTCAGACATCGCAAATACCAGCCTGCAACATGCCTTTTTTCTATTCTCTTCACTCACATCATACTTTACTAGTGCAACATCTTCGTGACGCTCTTCAATTAATTGTCACAAAACAACAAGTTCTTCGAACATCAATCACTTTTCATGCACAAAACAATCGACTCATCCAACAAACCATTGATTTCAATAAAAGCAACAGTGCACTATTTTCATTTATTGAAAGCACTTATGAAACTGATGAACAACTCAATGCTATCATCGAAAATGAGAAATATAATCCTCATCTTTTTCATCTTGCTCAAGGTCTTGTCTTTCGATGTCATATTATTTACTATAAACAAATCTCTTCAAACAGTATCCTTTCTAATAAAGATCTACTTATTTTCAATTTTCATCATGCTTTATTTGACTTTCCATCTATGAACATATTTCTTCATGATCTCAATCAAGCATATACAACAGGTCAACTGACAACTGATACTGATACTACTCTACGTTATATTGATTGTAAGTATATTCGATTTCTTATTCTATTTAAACTACTTCTTTCTCCTCATTTCTAGATGCTGTTATTGAACAACAAATGTCAATGAGTGGTGCAAGCATGTTTTGGTTTGATAAACTTCATAATTGTAAACTTGATCAGCCTTTACCATTACCATTTGATCGATATCGTCTCTCAAATGAACATCGAACTGGTCGTGGAACATCTCTTTCATTTGATTTTGGTCTAGATCTTT